ATGACAAGTGTTCCTCCTGCCCTGAAGGGTGCGCTTCCTGGTCGGTTCTGCTTTCGATGGGCCCGCAACGAAACGCCGGTCACTATACTGCCCCATGTCGTGTGGATTTTGCGCGGCACGCGCCGACGATTCACCTGGCGTAGGAAAGAATCCCCCGCGCTTCGTCATGGAAAAACATTTGACCGGCGATTCACTCGGCACTGTACCTAGCGGAGGCCCAACTTACCCTGATCACCAGGCCGATTGTCTTCCTGAGGCTCATGACCGTCTGCCTCCAGGCTCTAGCCGCGCGCGGGCCCCCGCGGGCCCTCGTCGTCAGATATGGGGCCAGGGTGGGAATCAGCCGCGGCCTCGCCGTCGCCATCTTGGGGGGGGGGGGCGGTGGAGTTGGGCGATCGGACAATTCATCCTGAACATCTGGAGGCGCACGGATAGTTGAACTTTCCGCGGCGTCAGGATCTGGCCCGCCCACTTCTGGGCACGCGGACCGAGGCGCGCAACCTCGGTCGCGGCCTTCTCGTAAGCCTCCTGCATGGGGAATTTTGACCGCTGAGTCGGCATGACCATCAGTAAGGTTAGCGCAGATTTGCGCGGACTTCTCCGCGACAGGCCCGGCGCCGTCAGCCCGCCCACCCGCGGGCAACGAGCCCCCGGGCAACCAGCCCCCCCGCTGCGTGGACATACCCCAGCTAAACTACCTTGAGCCATAGTGGCGCCAGCCATGGCCATTCTTGATCTAGACTCAGGTGGACGCGTGTAGCGAACAAGGGAACCAAAGGGCACGAGGGTGGCATGAAATGGCACTCCAAAGCGCGCCTGCCAGTTCGACGTGAACTATTTATGATGTCTCGCGCTCTGGCAGAAACAACATCACATGGCAGCGCCCGCCCTAAACAGCGACGGGAGACCAATTGTTATCAGCAAACCACGCGCCCCTACTTGTACTCTCCCGTTCGAACACTCGGCAACAACCACGGGTTGCCTGTTGCCGGGAACGGTACCATCGCATGCGTTGCCCAGTTCATGGCAAGCAAGCGCGAGCTCCTTCGCGCCATCCGCGCAACAAGTATTTCATGTCCTCCCGCGGGCTTTGTTCACAAAAAGTGCCAACGCGTGCAGCCGACTTGCCATGAACACCCTGCGCAGCAATGTAATTCGCTAGCCGATCGCGAAAACGCCACGCACGTAGTTTCCCCGTGGAGTCCCTGCGACTGCTCATCAGCCACAAACCAGCGATCTATCGTGGTGAGGTGCCCGAAACACGTGGGGTCTGAGAACAACCTTGGAATATTATTACCCCTTTTGGGTTGACTCATTCTTTGTTGTTTACGCAGAGCCTTAGTTAGCCATGCTACATGTCTGGCAATCACCTTTCTTGAGGAGGTGAACAAGGATATGTGGGATGGAGGCTGCGTCTCATTTGAAGATTCCAATTCTAAACGTCTCCGACGTTGACTAGGTCGACATCGCCTGGACTGTCAGCGTCAGCAACCGCGGGTTCGTCAAGAGCAGTGGTGAAAACCAAACGCCCACGATCCAAATCCTGGGGTTAAGCTCCTGAAAACCTTCCCGATGAGCAGTTCACTCTCCCCGTCCCCATCCGAGACTTCGAGCGACTTGGGGCGGACGCCAGAAGCAGATGGTGGCATGCATTGTCTATTTCGAATGGTGTAGTGTCAAACTGACTGTGGCTGTCGACCATTATCACAGCTGCGGGTGGCGATCAAGTCTCGCGCGCGCATGTCAATGGCCGCGCGGGTTTGGATGGAGCGGGGCGGAAGACCTCTTCAGAGTCCTCATCATCCAAACGAGCCTTCGCGCCTGGCCCCACGCGACACCGCCCCCTGGGCGACTGCGCAGCTCCGGTGGCCCAGCGCCCCTCTCCCTGAGAGGGCTCGGCATGGCATCCTACCCGCAACGGCCAGGTCCACTCGGGAACCGCTGGGCAGCAGAAGGCGGAGGGCTTGACCCGCAGGCCAGCAACAACTGAAGCCGTGGCGGGTACACCGCACCCCCACAGATGGGAGCGAACGGCGGGCACAACGGTGAGCACGGACGCCAGAAGGCCGGGCCAAGCCGACGTCGGAGATTGACCGCACTGCCGTTCAGTGTGGCAACCCCAGGCCCGCCTGCCTGCTGGATCGCCTGCTCGACTCTGTAGTTGGTTCTTGAGAGCTGCCATCGACATCAGCATAATGCCGACTTGTTTTTGTTGCTTTTGTTTGGGGGTAGGGGGCCAGCGCCAAGATACCATGCATGACAGACAATATCAAATTCAAGCATTCCTTATCGAAACACACTTCTTGCCCAATGCCGCGACTTGGCGAGAGCTCGTAAGGCAGACGTTTGCGGATGCCATGACAATGGACACTCTAACAACCCTAACATTGAATTGAGGTGTGTTTGAAATGTGTAAAGCATGTTCTAAGCATGGTTCAAACATGAATTACATATTTTGAGCATGTTTGAAACATGTTTTAGACATCTGGAATCATGCGGCAGCATGCTTCCTCTCCATTGATCGACTTCCACAAGCATACGTATCTTGACCCCACAAAGCATCATCTCGCGTGGCGGGGACGTAGGATCACATGAAGGGGAGCAGAGGAAGATTAAAGAAATGCATGTTGGATTTAGTTTGTGGAATGCTTCTTAAATAAATCCAGGATGTCCCTCCAATACTCCCCGAGAAGGTCCGAGATGCCTCCAAGACGGCCCAAGAGGCCACCAAGACGGCCCGGGATGGCCTCAAGATGGCCCAAGACGGCCCAGTAGGCCCCCAAGATGCATCCACGACGTCCCAAGAGGCCTCCAAGAAGGCATCCAGGAAGGCCTGAAGAGGCCAAATTTATTGACTGTCATCCGGTTGCTTGAAGGACTTGGGCGTTTGCTTCTTGTCGGCCTTTCGACGGCCTGCGACGGCCCAAGAGCTTCCAGAGATCGCCCTAAGATCGGCCAAGAGGCCTCCAAGATGGCCACAGAACGGCCTAAGAGGCCCTCGAGATTGCCCAAGAAGGGCCCCGAGACGGCCCAAGAGACCTCCAAGACGCCGAAGATGGCTTCCAAGACGGCCCTGGAGCACCCCCAAGAGGACGCCAAGTCGGCCCAGAGAGACCCCAAGATGGCGTCTGACGGCGTCAGACGGGCCAGGAGCCCACCAAGACGGCCCAAGATGGCTCCAAGATGGCCCAGGACGGCCCAAGATGCTCCGAAAAGGAGGTCTCCAAGACGGACCCCGAGGCCTCCAGGAAGGCCCGAGGAGGCCAAAATCATTGACTTCCCTCAGGTTGATAGAAGGGTTTGGGCATTTGCTTCCCGTCGACCTTCCGGCGGTCCGAGACGGCCCAAGAGCCCTCAAAGATCGCTCCAAGATCGCCCAAGAGGCCTCCAAGATTGCCCCAGAACTGCCCAAAAGGCCCACCAAGATGGCCAAAGATGGCCTCAAAGTCGCCAACGATGGCCCGAGTAAGAGGCCCCCAGGATGCCTCCACGACGTCCCCAGTGGCCTCCAAGAGGGCATCCAGGAAGGCCTGAAGAGGCCAAATTCATTGACTGTCATCTGGTTGTTTTTTTTGGGCGGTTGCTTCTTGTCGGCCTTTCGTCGGCCTGAGACGGCCCAAGAGCTACCAAAGATCGCCCTAAGTTCGCCCAAGAGGCCTCCAAGATGACCCCAGAACGGCCCACTATACCACCAAGACGACGGCCCAAGAGGCCTCCAAGACGCCCAAGATGGCCTCCAAGACGCACCCCACGAGGACCCCTAGTCGGCCCAGAGGGGCCCACAAGACGGCTTCTGACGGCGTCAGACGGGCCAGGAATGCCTTACTTAAGACGGCCAAAGAGGCCCCCGCGAAGCCCCCCAGGGCATCCAAGAGGCCCTAGGAGGCCTCCAAGATGCCTCAAATAGGCTCCCAGGAAGCTCCCAGGAGGCCCCAAGAGTGCCCCCAGAGGCTCCCAAGATGCCCCCTCCTCCTCCTCCTCCTCTTCCTCCTCCTCCTCCTCCTCCTCCTCCTCCTCCTGATCTTCCCCGCCATCCTCCCCCAAGCGTTCCCAGAAGTGTTTCCGCATCGGCTGGGGGAACACATGGTCCGATATCTTCTCAGAGCCGTGCCATCACGCTCGGCCACATGGGCGATTCCAAATGGCAGGGGGCGGGGGTGATTTGCCGTAGGCGTCTTTGATATATCTGTATACATATATACACAGCAAATGTGCTGTCACACCGACTTCGAATCGACAGTGCAAGACCCCACTGTTTGTGGCGAGAGCTGGCAAAACGCAATTGTTCTATGATCTTACGCACCTCGACGCTACGGCCTCATGCTCGCCAGAGACGCTCCCGGGGCCACCCAAGACGGCAGCAAGACAGCTCCCCAAGCGGGGCCTGAGATGCCAACAATCGGGCCCCGAGAAGGTGCCCACAAAAGGGCTCAAAAGCCGACAATTGGCACTCCATCCCCGCATTCCGGAGCGCCCTGGAACATATTTTGTCCTTGCCCTCGCCCCGTCCGGCAAGATCACCCGAAGACCCCCAGCTGCACCCCGAGGGGCCCCCGAGGGGCCTTGCCAACGGCCGCTCGCCGAGAGGCCTCCAAGGCTCGGGCGGGTGGCAATGGGGGGTGACCTGAGGGGGGGGAAAGGATAAGGGCCCGGAAGGGACCCTTCAGGGCCCCTTTTTTGGGAGCCGGCAGAGCCCCAACAAGGGGCCCTCCCCCCAAACAAAAGGGAACGAAGATAGAGAAACTCGGAGGTCCGCGCGGACTTCTCGGATCGGCGCTGGACCCCCCTCCCTGGCGCGCGCCAGGGGCGGCGGCTGAGGCGCCGCCAAGGGGGTCCAGCGCCGATCCGAGAAATCCGCCCGGACCTCAGGTCATCCCCCCAGTACCACCCGCCCGAAAGACTTGAACCCCGAGAGCCTCGCCTCCGAAGAGATGGCTCTTCTCCACCGCCCCCCTCCGCGAGGAGGGCGGAAACGCGGGGATATGGGTCCCTGGAGTCGCCCGGGTGCTCCACCACTTGTCCCCGTAGTGGATGAACAGCTCCTCGCCCTGCGAGACCGCCTCTTGCCATCGCTCGGACGTCCGTCCCCCGTGCATTGTTCGACTTCGCGCGTGCTGTCTTTCGCAGGATGGTCAGGGATGCCCCTCGATGAACCTTGCCGGGGACAGCATGCAGACGTTCGAGCGATGCCAAGGCCTTGAGCGCGTAGAACGTGCCCACGACCATGCCCCCGTGCCTCTCGGAGCGCTCCCACATCACCTCGAGGAGAGGGAGGGGGGACGAGGAGCGCACGCCGCAGGGCAGGGAGAGGCGGCGGAGGACCGGGGCAGGGACGGGGACGAGGAGGAGACCGCGGCGGGGGTGGTGGTGGAGGGTGAATGTGAGCTGGGGCAGCGAACGCCGGCCAGGGAGAGGCGAAGGAGGACCAGGGCAGGCACGAGGACGAGGAGGCGATAGAGGTGGGGGCGGTGGCGGAGGGAGAATGTAAGCTAGGGCAAGCAGCTTCGCGCTTCGCGCTCCGCGAGGCGCGACTATCTTAGCGCCTTCGCGCCGCCGCCCTCCCCCCCCAAAGAATCAGGACGAGGGGCTCGCGCCTCGCTCTGAGATCGCTTAGACCGCGAAGCGCGACTAACTTCACACCCTCGTGGTGGCCCTAGGTGAAGGAAGGCATGCAACGCTGCGGGGGGCGCCGTGCACATATCTCAAAGGCACGGTGGCGGACACGCAGGTGTGAGCAGTGTGAGAGCATGCTGTGATACACGACGAGAGATGAACAGCGTTGAATGCGGCAACGTGGACAACAGCGAGGCAGACGCGATGCGAGGAACCAACAAGACGCTGCAAAGTAACTGAACAACTTGACACGAGAAAAGGTGCGATGGAACTTTTTGGGCGTGTTACGACTAAATCGAGGCAAGCGCACCTGCTTACACATTTGCATCGCGAAGAACGCACCCCTTGCGACTGGGTGAGCGCACAGCTGTCCCCGCGTGCGCCGTGTTACAAGCTCTCAGTGGGTCGCGTTGCATCACACAATGAGGGCCAGTGCGCGTGCGTGCGACTGCCCCCAGTGGCCCTGAAATGCAAGCTCGCTATGCGAAACGAGATGGGCGCAGTGCTTGCGACAGATCCCGAAGACGTCGCACAGTCAGAGCCTTGTCACGAGGAGCCCTGGATTATAAGCTAGGCCTCCGCTGGGCCCGAGCTGCGCCCAGATGAGCGAGGAGCGACAAGAGAAAGCCCTGCACGGGCCGTAGGAGCGGCGAGCCCCTGCCGAAACCAAAGTGATCCTTATTTTGAAGTGCTGACTGCAGTTGGGAACCCCCAGCGGGGCACGAGGTGCGCGAAAAGTCTTCAAAAATCAAATGGGGTGCACATGTGACCGCCCTGGCGCCGTAGCTCGGGCCCCCCGGCACAGCACGGTCTGTGCGGGGTGCGCCTATGGCCGCCCCTCACTGGCGCTGCAGCTTGGGCTCGCTAAGCGGCGCGCTGTGCAAGATGAAAGGCGTCGAGCCGAACCGCAATGCCAGGCGCAGGCGACCGCCCCCGCTGCCACCGTTTGGGATTCTGACAGAATGCGAAGTGCTTTTAGGGGAGCTACAACATGAAGGACGGACCACATGCGACCGCCCCCTCTGGCCTTGTAGCTGGTGCCGCACGGAGTGTATGAGTGATGTGCCGCGAGATGGAGCCGAATGCATGCGACTGCCTGGAGGGGACGGACGACGAGACGAGGATAGAGGATGTAGCACATACTCGGAGGCCTCCCAAATGGGGCCAGAGTAGGGTAGGGCCGGAATTGCGAACCATCGCACCGCATCGCCAGCACATCGGAATTGCATCGGGGATTGCAGGCAGGAGAAACTCCGATGTGAAACCCGCCGCGTCTGCTCTGGGAGGCGGGAGGCCTGGGGAGACGAGGCGTTAGCCCATCCAGGGCCACTGCCGTCCTGGCTCGCTATCGGACAACCTGGCTTGAAACAGGCCGGCTGGCCCGCAACCACTCTGGCATTGGGCGGGATCGCGTGGCTGACGATGAAGAGGGAGGCTCGAGGGAGCACCCCCTACCGACCTGGAGCTCCCTGGATGCCTCCCGAGATGCCCGGGAATCCCACCAGCCCTTTGGGCGACTGGTGGTCTAACGAGATTCCTTCCTGTTCCACAAAACCCCTCTTCCCCTACGGGAAGGGGCTATAACTCTTCCCTATTAATATACACCCCCTCCCCCAGGCGACTGGGAGCCAACCCGAGCCAATGAGGGCCCCCCCCATCATCCTTTGCAAAAACAGTAATATCCCAGTAAGACCCGACCTAGGCGTTGGAGGATCTAGGAAAACAACATATATATGAAGCTAAGCTAGGCAAAGATGGAGCTAAGGTAAGATGGAATAAGATAATCTAAGATGAGATAGGCAACGCGAAGCTAAGAGAACGTCACCGGGGGAACCGCGGGGCGGATGCCGGGGGAACCGCCCGGGGCGAGCCCCACTGCCCGGTCCTTTAAGCTTAGCGATACTATGCTAAGCTGCGCTATGCAATGCTATGCTATGCTATGCTATGCTATGCAATGCTGCGTTATGCTAGGCTATGCGTGGCTATGCTATGATGTGATATGCTATGATAGTGCAGCGCTGCGCTATGCTAAGTTAAGCTAATCTACGCCAAGCTAAGCTAAGCTAGCCCTTTAATCAAAGCCTAGGTAGGGTTTTACACACATGATATGATACGCAATGCTGCGTTATGCTGTGCTACGCTATGCTATGCTCTGGTGTGCTCTGTTATTCTAAAGCTCAGCGAAGCTAAGATGAAGGTGGAATAGCTAAGATAAACCCGAGTCGAGATGGAGCTAAGCTAGAAGCTCATATGAAATAAGCAAAGCTAAGATGAGATAAGCAACGCTAAGCTAAGGGGACGTAGCTGGGGGAACCGCGGGGCGGATACTGGGGGAACCGCCCGGGGCGAGTTGCACTGCCCGGCCCTTTTAAGCATACCGAGCAAGAACCCTTTCTAGGCAGAGCCTAGGTAGGGAACAAAACACACTCTGTTTCCAAATTCGGAGCATGCGAGGCAAACCCGATGCGATCTCCCCCCACCATCCCTGTCAAAAAACAATACAGAATACACTTGGCGGCGGCGGCGGCTGCAGCGGCTGCGGCGGGGGCAGCGGCTGCGGCGGCTGCGGCGTTGGCGGCGGCGGCAGTGGCGGCGGCGCGCGGTGGCGGCGGCGGCAGCGGTGGCGGCAGCGGTTGCGGCGGCAGCGGCTGTGGCGGCGGCGATTCGGCAGCGGGGGGCGGCGGCGGCGGCGGCGGCGGGCGGCGCGCGGCGGCGGCGGACAGCGGCGGCGGCGGCGGGCGGCGGCGGCGGGCGGGCGGCTGCGGAGGCGGCGGCGGCGGCGGCGGCGGATGCGCCCCCAGTAGCTGCCCATCCAAAGATGAGTGCTGAATATGCTGCGGCTCGGGCCAAGCTCGGGTGCTACATATGTGTTGGGAGGGCGGGTGAAAGTGAGCGGGACGGCCAGCGGGGGGGGAGGGAGTCTTGACCCCTCCCCGTACCCCTCCCCTGGATTTGTTCGGGCCCCCCCGCGAGGTGTCAGGGCGTCCACAACGCCTCGGCGAGGAAACCCATGTTGGCATTTTGGGGGGGGCTGAAAAATGTCCCACCAACCCTCTGGGCGCCAAAATCATTGGTTAGAATTAGGTGTTGGCATCATTTGGGCCCCTTTGAGGGGGGGCTGAACGTTATCCCACCAGCCCTCTGGGCGCCCAAATCATTGGTTTTACTAAAATGTTGCACCCATGTTGGCCCCTTTGGGGGGGCTCAACGTAATACCATTTCCTTATTTGGTCGGTGACCTTCAAAATGGCCCCAAGAGGAGTTCCAAGGCTCCCAAGAGGGCCCCACGAGAGCCCCAAGAGGGCCCAAAGAGGGCCCCAAAAACTTTCAGGACGTCCCAGGTGGCCTCCAAGACGGCTAGGATGGCCCCAGCATGCCTCCAAGACGGCCCAAAATGCACCCATGACGGCTTGAAAGCCTAAGGCGGCCCAAGGAACCCCCGAGAGGCCTCCAAGATGGCCCAAGAAGCCCCCAAGAGGTCCTCCAGGAGGGTCCGAAGAGGCCCAAATCCGCTATTTCCCATCGGTTTGTGAATGATGTTTGGAATCCGCTTCCTTTCGGCACTGCGACGGCTCAAGACGGCCCAAGGGGACCCAAGATCGCCCACGATACCTCCAAGATGGCCCCATGACGACCCAAGAGGCCCCCAAAACGGCCCCAAGGGGGGCCAAGTGCCCCAAGATGCCCCGAAGAGGCCTCATCCTCCTCCTCCTGCTCCTTCTCGTCTTGCTCCTCTTCCCGTCGCCCGCACGCGGGCCCCAAGGATGGCCCGAAGAGGCCTTCCAAGGCCACCACCTTGCTCCCAGAGATCTCTCGGCTAATCCTGGTTGCTCGCTCTGTTCCCCTAGATGTGTCCCTTCGTCCTTTTTCCCGTCGGCTCTCTTGGGCAGGGTTTCTGAATGGGCTGGTGGGGATATTTCTGTCGCAGCCGCACGCAAAAGCGCCAGCGGCATCAAACGGAACGGGCAGGCCGCGCGGGAACCTAATTGCCTAACGCGCCAGCAAGCAGAGGCCCAGGCGGCACATCATCTCACCGGAAGCGGGGGGGGTGCGGGTTGCAGCTGCCAGGAACCATCTCCAGGAGCGAGCGCATGCAATTCGCCAACTGAAGTTGGGGCGCAGCCAAACTGGCGCGGGAGCGGTACCAGGATGAATCCATCAGCGCCATCACAAAAGGACCGCAGATACCAGCAAGGCCGGGAAGAACTCACTGACCAGGAACCTGGTGCATGGCGGTGGCGCCACCAAAGTCGCACACAACGCTGACAAGTGGCTGCAGAGGGCGAGGACAAGACGTAGGATAACCACACGAGACGCCCATGCACCCAGCCCCTGAGGGGGGCAGCTCGCTTGCAGTACACTCCAGCAGGTAATGCTGTCACCGATGGCCAGGAAGGCGTCGCTGATTAGGCTGGTGGGGCTATTTGTTTTTGGTCGGCGGCCGCGCGACCACGGTCTGGCGGCAACAGCGATGTCCGGGACTACGGATCAAGGCAAATTACACGCGATGCGCGAGGTGCACACGCAGTGAGCAAAATGCTCCGCATTCGAGAGGCAGACGCACATAGGCGCCGGCCACACCACCAGTGGGGCTATTTTTTGCTGCGGAGTGAGTCGCCCTTGCGGCGCCAAGCTCCGAGCAACTGCCCAGCCAGACAACTATGTACCAGCCTGGACGCCAGCTGCACGTAGTGGAAACGAAAGCCGACGACGCCGAAGGCTGACCCACTCGGCGCGCGGCCAACGGAACCACCACCGACTGCAGACGCTGGCCGAGAATCCAAAACATAGTATCGCGCGGGCGCGGGGGGGCTACTGCAGCCCACAGAATGCGACAGGGCGTGGAAAGGGGAGCGCAGCAAACCGCCGCAAAAAGTACGCAACTGAAGGGCAGCTGCACACCGCCTGTGAAAACACACGTGGGGGGTCCAACTAACCGACGCAAGAGTCACGTAGAGAAAAAAGGGGGGAAGCTGCACGGCGCAATGCGGCATAGGCTGGAGCGTGCCAGCGCTAAGAGCCACAAAGCGACAGGACTGGCAACAATACGCGGCACAGCAGAGGCTGCACCTGGTGTGTACCGGCGGTACGAAGCTGAAGGGCAGCTGCAAGACGACTGAGTGGACACGCGCGGGGGGTGCAGCTAACCGCCGCAAGAGCCACGTAGTGCACGGAGGGGGGGGAGGCGACACGGCGCAGTGTGGCGTAGGCTGGAGTTTGCCAGCGAAGAGAGCCACAAAGCGACCGACTCAGAACCCTACGCCACAAATGAGGCTGCACCTGATGTGTACCAGCCTGGAAAGCCAGCAGCACGTCGTGATAGACGAAGGCCGACGACGCCGAAGGCTGCACCACACTGGTGGGGATTATATATATATATATATATATATATATATATATATATATATATATATATATATATATATATATATATTCGGGGATGGACAGAACCCCCCTTTAGTAAAACGTGGTTTAGTGAAAACGACCTGAGGCCCAAACCTGGCGGGCGCAAGCCTGGAAAATAACGGCCACGGCGCCCTCTCGAGAACCGAAAACGGACAATTCACTAATCGACGTGTCACTGTTGGGGGTTCTGTCCACCTCCGATATATATATATATATATATATATATATATATATGCGGCTCCAAGGACGGCTCCAGGGAGCGGGTCACTCTCGACAGGGGCGCAATGCGAGACGATTGGCAACGAAGGCACATAGGCCAACGCCGCAATGCACGCGCGAAGGACAAAATGAACCTTTTTAGAGCCGACCCGGGAATGGACGACGGCAGCAGACTGGAAAGCCGGGGGAGGGTCGCACTGTGGTGCCAGCCCCCGCGGACCAAGCCTGCGAGAATGCGGGAGCGCTGTGCGGGCAGCGCAGAGCCCGAGGAAAGGCACCGCCAAACGCGGCGAGGAGGAGCAGAAGGGGAGACAAGCGCAGGAAGCGAGCGGGCGGCGACGAGGGGAGGGGGGGAGGAAACCAGGCCTCACTCACAGAACACCTCACGTGCTCGAAGCCAGAGTCCCAGCTTGCACCTTCCTTGCCACGGTGGATGGGGGGAACGCTGCGAGGTACCACGCTGGTGGGGATTTTTTTCCTTTACAGCCGCAGGCGGAAGCGCCAGCGGCGGGCGGTCGCGGTCGGGCTGCGGCCGCGACTCACGGCGGGCGCGCGCAAGGCCGCGGTCAGGCGGCAGGCAGCAGCGACCCAGGGCGTCTGAGCCAAGGCGTGCAGTCCAGGGAGTCTGCAGGGCAGCCCCAGAACGAAACGTGCAACGGCGCATCCAGGGAGTCTGAACACAGGCACCGAGGAAGCCGAGCGCAGCCAAAATGGCGCGTAAGGCGCTCCCAACAGTTCGAATACGAACAAATAGGAACGGTCCCGAAGACGTCGATCCAGGGAGTCTGACGGGTAGCACAGACTGACTGGCGACACAGTCCAGCGGGGAAACCTGACGGCGGATCAGAACATCGCGACGTCAGAACACGCATCCAGGGTGTGGAAACAGAGTAGCCAGATAGAACCTTCCACAACTGAGATGCGTCAGGCCCTTGGTCTAGCGACTGGTAAGGGCGCAGCAGTGTGCACGAAGCCACACGGTAGGAACACGCAGCCGAAAGTGCACATCCAAAGTGTCTCAGCGCCACCCATAAACGTGTCAGGTAGCAGCTGGTGGGGATACGCGAAGCGTGAAGAATGGAGAACAGAAACAAACACCGTCATACTACGCACCCCGAGAAGCCAAGGCGTTGAGCAAACGCACCCAAGCAAGGGATCTAGCAGGGCAGGGCTGTGGCTGTTTAATCAACGCCCAAGGCCGCTTCGTAAACGCCACTTTCGGGGGTCTTGGGGGAAACCAAAAGGTACCGATACCGCTACTCCCCGGACCTCTCCCAATGAGTGCGAATCCAGCAGTGGCGACGAAGGCCTCCCAGGAAGCCCAAAAAGTGGAAACCAGGGAAGGGTATCGGTATGGGTACCTTTTTCCCTCCTCTGGGCCGGGATGGCTTCCCTCCCAAGAGTCTTGAAGACTGACGAAACGCCCAGCAAAGCCTCCCTCCCCGAGCCACCCCTGCTCGAGAGGCCGGCCGGGCCGACCCGGAGTGCCGCTCCCCCCGAGCGCTCGCCTCGGCATTGGGCGGGTCCGCGTGGTTGTGCAGCGACGCGAAGCCCAGGCCGAGTACGGATCCGGGGGCCAGAGAACGCACACCCGCTTGAAACTCTGATGGGCCCGTTTTTTTACCACCACCTCCATAGGAGGAGGAGGAGGAGGAGGAGGAGGAGGAGGAGGATCCTCTCCCCCTCCAACTTATGGTGGTGGTGGTGGTGGAAAACAGGACCGTCAAAACTTGGGCCTTCCACGAGAAACCCAACCCTGAGACCCAAGGACGTCTACTTGTTTTGGGGGTCGGTACGTCTGGGTGTCAAGCAGGGCGTTTATTGGCATGGGCCTTCACTGTAATCATAGAATGGGCGTGCGAGCGATGCTCACGTAGTGGGGGGCGATGAATGTGGGGGAGAAGGAGGAGGAGGAGGAGGAGGAGGAGGAGGAGGAGGAGGAGGAGGAGGAGGAGGAGGAGGAGGAGGAGGAGGAGGAGGGGGGGGGGGAGGGGGAAACGTGCACCCTGCGTGCGCCCGATGGGCCCCACAGGGGGCCCTTCAGGGTACAAAAGTTGCGCCTTTCTTGCCCCCCCTCACCAATTTACGAATTGGGGTAACTATCTTCGCACAACGAAGATAATTACGCCCGGAATCGCGGCGAAACAAAACGGACAACGGAACGAGCGCACCAGAAACAAGTTTAACATCCAAACGCGCTTACAACGACAGCGAACAGCACAACGAACAACAAAACGAACAACAAAACGAGGGCCAACACCTAACTACACATCGTTGTGGTTGGTCCCTGCCCTCGCACTTCGCGCCTCGCGAAGCGCGAATATCTTCGCGCTTTGGCGCCGCCCCCCCCCGCCCCCCCCTCGAACAGCATGAGGCGCTCGCGCCTTGCTCTGAAATCGCCCAGGCGGCGAAGCGCGACTCCCTTCGCATGGTGGGCCTGTTGTCCACCACCACCACCACCACCATGAGTAGGAGGGGGAGGGGGTCCTCCTCCTCATTCTCCTTCTCCTCCTCTTCCATCTCCTCGTCCTCTTCCATCTGCTCGTCCTCCTCCTCATCGTCCTCCTCCTCCTCGTCTTCCACCTCCTGCCCCCCTCCAACTTATGGTGGCGACGGCAGGGACGAAGGAGGCGATGAGGGAGGAGTTCCTCCTCCTCCTCCTCCTCCTCCTCCTCCTCCCCATCTTTGTCCTCCTCCTCTTCGTTCTTATCTTCCTCCTCCTCACGCTCCTCCTCCTCCTCCTCCTCCACCCCTTCCTCCTCCTCCGCCTCCTCCTCCTCCTCCTCTCCTCCTCCTCCTCCTCCCTCCTCTTCCTCTCCTCTCCTCCTCCTCCTCCTCCCCTCCTCCTCCCTCCTCCTCCTCCTCCCCTCCTCCTCCTCCTCCTCCTCCTTCTCTCCCCCTTCTCCCCCTCCCCCCCCTCCTCGTCCCCCTCGTCCTCCTCCTCCTCCTCCTCCTCCTCCTCCTCCTCCTCCTCCCCCTCATGCGGAAGGCGAAGAACCGTTGTAGACATTCCAGCCCTCAAGCCGTTGCGGAGCCCTGGGGAAGTTTCTCGCAAGAATCTATGTCTCCCGTTCCGTAGCCATTGCCGGGCTTCTGCCTGTCCGCAAGGGACGATATCACTGTTGAATTGCACCTAGCGTTTGAGGAGGACGGAGAGGAGGACGCGCAGTGAAGGGGGTGCTGAGGTTGCCGGCGCGCGCACAGGGCGGTAGCGCGAGGGGATGCGGCGGCCTTTCTAAGAAAAGCGGGGGGGGGCGGAGCTTCGACGAAGGAGAGGGCCTTCTTGCAAGCCCTCCTGGCTTCTGATAGGAAGCCCTCGTGGCTTCTAGGAGGCTTTCGTTCTGAGAGGGCGCCCTCGTGGCTTCTAGGACGCCCCACTGGCTTCTGGGACGCCCTCGTGGCTTCTAGGAAGCCCTCCTTTTAAGAAGGCCCCCCGCCCTCCAAGACGCGCGCCGCCTTCTCAGAGATGCCGCCCCCTCGCACCACGACCCCTCACGCGCGCCGCCAAGGAATGGTACCCACCCGCCGGCCCCCCGAGGTGGAGAGCTCGTGCGCGTTCGGATCGTCCCAGCCCAGCTCGAACACGTCGTCCTGCAGCTCGTGGAGCTCCTCCCCCTCGCTGGTGTTGCCGCGGACCAGCCGTCCGGGCGACTCATGGAGCACCTCGCCTTTGGCGAAGTCCTTCTTGGCCGGGGAGCCACACACGAGGGGAGCCAGCGAAACAAGTGCGGATGTCGCTTCAACAGGCACGTGCGGCAGGCATTGGGCGGGAAGCCACGCACGAGGGGAACCGATGAAACAAGTGTGGATGTCGCAACAATAGACACATGCGGCAAGACATCTTATAAGCAAACTGCGGGGGTGTCGAGATTCGAGGTCCCTGGGGTGCCCCAGGGCTTCTGACGCCCCCCCCCCGGGGGCGAGCAGGGAATATGGAACTCCCGTGGGGCACCTGCTGGTGGGCCACCTTCTTGTTTGACCTGCCTGCTGCATGGATTCCCGACCAGCCCGAATGCGGACGGAAACGCCGGAACAGATGAAACCGCCTTCGGACAGTCACAAGCCATACGTCCCGCTCCTCCGACCTATTATCCGCACTACGGGATACCGACGCCCTTCCAGGCGCAGGCACGGCGCACAGACTCTCCACGGGCCACCCGAGGACTTGCTGGATGCTGCTAGGGACCGAGAGGAGAACGAGAGGGAAGCCAAGTCGCCCCTCCGCTCTCCCTTGCCCTAGGTGCCCAGTGACTGGCACACCATACCTGATTCCCAGACCAATGTTTGCACATTGGGTTTCTCATTGGTGTTGTCTCGATTCCGCGAACACAGCATGGGGCGCCAACGAAACACCCAAAACGATGCCGTCCATTCGGCGGAAGTGCTCAATCTGATCCCGCCTGAAGCTTCAATCACACTCTTCCACCGGGCGTCCCCATAAAGCGTGTTTATAAGGCACCTCCACAGGGCATTTCCATAGGGCACTTCCCGACGGCACTTCCGTTCCGTAGGGCACCGCCTGAGGGGGCCTAGAAAAGCCGTGATGCAAGTGCGTAAGCCCCGAATGATACAGTCACGTAACAAAATGCGTCAGCCACTCGGAACGACAAAGCACTGACCACAGTGCACCAACCAAAGGGCACCAGCCACAGGATACCAACCACAGGACACTCACCACAGGGTACCAACTGTGGGGCCATTACCATAGGGAACCCTAGGGTTCCAGCATTCGAGCTGGAACCATGTGTGACCAACCTCAGGGACACCAACCATGGCCCACTACGCGTGAAACGCGGTAACAAAAACAATCATAGACAACCGACCGAACGGCACCAACCGACGGGCACCATATGGCCTGTAATTCGGAAGTGCAGTAATCTACCGATTGAGATCCACACGCTGGTATCGTTACATCGGGGACGCGCTTGCAGCCGACGACGGGGTTGCGGGGGGGATGGGATGTCCATCGCTTCATGCGACCTCCAGCTGTTGCAGGGGGGGCGGGGGGGGGTGGACGGGGGGCAATTACATTTGAGGGCTGTTCGTGGCTTGCTGGCACGAGCACCTGATTGAGCACATCCCCGTCAATAGCACCGCCTGCCAACACGACACCACGACATCCTACTTACCACTAGCGGGCGCGGGGGGTCGGGGGTGAGGCAATTGCTCTTGAAGACTGCTCGTGGCTTCCTGGCCACCCACCTGATTGAGCACGTCCCCTTCAAGAACCCCACTTGCCGAGACGACACCGCGACGTCCTCGTGACTACACGAGGCGTCCCCAGCAGAGTCCCCAAGATCGCCCCAAGGCGGCCTCCAAGAAGGTCCCAAGACGACCCAGGCGGGCACCAAGACGGCACAAGAGACGCCCAAGAGGCCCCAAAAGACGGTCCCAAGAGGGGGCCCAGATTGAGAGGGGGAACCGAACGGAAATGTCGAGCCCTCGGCCCCGAGGGGCACCCTGCAGGCCCCAAGAGGCCCCTGAGAGGCCCCCGAAAGGCCCCCAACAGGCCCCCAAACTGCCTCCAGGAGGCACCGAGAGCGCTCCGAAGAGACCTCAAGGAACATCCCTGAGAACTCTGACCCGCAACCCGGGCACGGTGGCTGGACTTGCCGTAAGCAGCTGGATATCGGGGTCCACATCGAGCCGCACCGCCGATGCATCGGCGATGCGGCGCGACCCTCCGACCACATCTGCTGGGACCCTGGCCTGCAAACGTGCAGAATTTCTCCTAGTGGGAAAACTGAAAGGCACCGATACCGCAACTCCCTGGACATCTACCAAGGTGCGTTCTGATCAGAATTGTAAAAACACGTCCAGCCGTGTCGACGAGTACCTCCTGGGAAGCCCCCACAAAGCGAACACGAGGCAAGGGTGGCGGTGTCGGTACCTCTTCCTCCTCTGACTGAGGATCCTTGGCGGCGAACACCCCGAAGCCGTGGATGGAGGACGGCGCCACCATCACGTGCTTGCCTATGAGGGCCACCCTCCTGCCCGCGCTCGCGAGCGGCCCGGCACCGCGGCGCAGCCGCATGCTGAGCACCACGTCTTTCCTGCACTCCTCCTCACGGGTGCGTCCGAGGGAGGGGCGCCCATGCAGGAGGCGGAGGAGGAGGCGGAGGCGGAGGCGGAGGCGGAGGAGGAGGAGGAGGAGGAGAAGGAGGAAGAGGAGGAGAAGGAGGAGGGGGTTTGCAAATCAAGGCCCCAAGCACGTGCGCGGCCAAGGTGGGCTCGAAGACGCCCTTCAATAAAAAAAGAGGGGACCGTAATACTAGGAGGAGGAGGCGGACGAGGGAGGAGGAAGACGAGGAAGGAGAAGGAGGAGAAGTAGGAGGAGACTCTGGAGACTCTGCCTGATCGCGTAGCGATATGATTCAAGTCACACTCTGGACCGCACGGTGCGGTGCTGCCTTCCGCTCAGAGGGAAAGCTTCTGGTCGGAAACCTGGGAGGACATCAGCCCGTCGGCATCGAAGCATTTCTGATGGCTGCGCCGAGGTTTGAGAGGAGGTCTCCAACTTCGGTGCCACCAGCCTGGCTTATTTGTGTGCTGGCTGGTTCCCAGATCCATTCATAACGGAAAGTGCTGCCTACCCCTCGTTCCTTGTGAACCCATCTTCCTTCACTGCCCGACTTGTCCCGTAAAACGTCTGCATCCCGAAGGAGACGTGCACGCGCCTCGCTGGATTCCCAGCGCGATGGCTTCCGACTGTCGGGCTCCAACTTCGCCTCTCGCTTCTCGCATTGAGGTGTCAACATTTCACCAGATGCAATGAGAGCAACTCGACGTACGAAAGGCTTGGGTTTGAATCGACTGGCTCGAATGATGCATTGACGGTCAAATTCGTTCCGTTCAGCAGCTCGCTCCTGAAGAAAGGCCTCCTCGTTTGACAGAAAATCCGTGCATGCTTCACTGGCAACGTCGGGCTGCGACTTCGCCTCCGACTTGCCCTGATCCCAGAATTGCGGGTGATCACATGGGGCTCTAATTTCACATCCCGTTAGATCACACATGTTGGCAGGTTCAGGGGTTAGGTTAGAGGTAGTGTCGGGCTCCAACTTCGCCGCACGCTTCTCGCAATGAGGTGTCTGAGCCTCTGGGGCTTATGTGACGGGCTCCAACTTCGCCGCACGCTTCTCGCAATGAGGGGTTTGAGCCAGAGCCTCCTGGGCTTGTGTGGAGGGCTCCAACTTCGCCGCACGCTTCTCGGCCTGATGTGTCTGGGCTAACGGCGAAAACGTCGGGCGTGAGGCACTGGCGACGTCGGGCTGCGACTCCGCCTCGTGCTTGCCCTGATCCCAGAATCGTAGCTGATCGCGTGGGGCTCTAGCTTCGCCTTCTCTCATCTCGCAAACGCTGGTTGGACCTGGGGCTATGCTGGTAGTGTCGGGCTCCTTCTTCGCCTCCTGCTTCTCGCAAAGGGGTGTCTTCCAATGCACCGTGCGAGAACCACTGGCGACGTGGGGCTGCGACTTCGCCTCCTGCTTGCCCTGATCCCAGAATTGTAGATGATCAAGTGGGGCTTTAACTTCGCCTTCCCTCATCCCGCACACGCTGGTTGGATCTGGAGCTGGGCTGGTAGCGTCGGGCTCCCTCTTCGCCTCCTGCTTCTCACAAAGGGGTGTCTTCCAATGCACCGTGCGAGAGCCACTGGCAATGTGGGGCTGCGACTTCGCCTCCTGCTCGCCCTGATCCCAGGATTGTAGATGATCACATGTGGCTCTATCTTCGCCTTCCATCACCGCATACATGGTGGCGGCGGCGTACGGTGACGTCGCCTCATACATGCCCTGATCCCAGGATTGTAGATGATCCTGCCACATGTTGGCCTCCGGAGGCCATGTGCTGCCATGCTGCATCTTGCGTAGCCGCTCCACCTCACGGGTCAGGCGGTGGATGGCTTGTTCGGCCGACCACTGTGCCCATGCCCGTCGGGTTTTGCGCTCGCGTGGGGTGAGTCTCGGGGGCCACTCTTTCCTTGGGCGCCACTCTTCGGCGCCCATCCCGTATCACAACTAAACTCCAGTGTTCGTTAATGTCAAAAGCGGTCGAAAGCGAGACAGCTGCGACAGTATCCCTCAAGCACCACGCGGAGGTCCTGGAGTTGGCCTGGGCAAGAAAGCCTGGGCCGAATTTGCTTGAGGAGAAGTAGGAGGAGGAGGAGGAGGAGGAGGAGGAGGAGGAGGGAGGAAGATGAGAAGAGGAGGAGGAGACATCGTGGCCCCAGCCGTGATATCCCCCGCCCCCGGCCATCAACCCCCTCCTGGCCGCCCCGATCCTTCATCAACGTGGCGCTCCCCTGCACGCCGTTGACCTCCAGAAGGAGATCACCGGGCGCAACCGCCTGGTCTGGGTTTGCGGCGTTCCAACGCTCGCAGAGGAGCCCCTCCGTGACGTTCATGACGAAGAGCTCCGAGGCGTTGACCTGGTGCTCGAGCCGCAGCCCCAACTTGCCGCCACCAGTCTTGTCGATGGTCACGACGTACTCCGCGGCAGCCTGCGCAGCGTTTCACCAATGCCTACCCCCACGGGCGTGGCCTGTGCCCCGCTGGCCGACCGATCCCCCTTAGATGGCGATATAGGCTGTTCTCTTCGGGTTTCGCGGGGCTCCATCCCGCCCGGGGGGCGGGCTGATGGGACTGAGATACCCCAGCCCCCCGACGTCATGATTTCTTCGTGGCGTCGGCCCCCAGAAGTCGCGACCCACTTCTGGGGACCGGCTTCTCATCGGGAGTCGCTTTTTGTCAGTCCCAGGGCCCAGTAAGAGTTGCCGGAGGCCGAACATAGCGACAATAATTCCCGTCACAGCAGCCGCCGCGGGCCCGCCGGCGGGGCTGGCCGCGCCACACGCTCGGGGCGTGACCCGTCCCCCTGAGCGGCTCGCTTCCTCCGCCTCCTCTTTCGGCCGCGTCCCACCCCTGCTCCCCCTCTTGCATGGTGGCACAATTTGCCCCAACGGTTTCCCCGTTTTAGCCTTTCCGCTCGCGCTGTGGATGCACTGACAATGGACACCTTCACAATCCGATCGTTGAATTAAACATGTGGTTAAGATATCTGAAACATGTTCCAAAAATGATATAGAACGAAGTTATACACATGACTCAGACATGTTTAAAACAATGTTAATTAGACATCTGGAAAGTATTCGGCAACATGCTTCCTCCACTGATCCTCGTCCACAACGCTAGCGCAGACTTCCCCTGCCTCGCCGCCGACGCAAAAAGCTCATGACGCAAAGGGATCTGGGGGCCATGGCACAATTGGATGGGCATTGGTTAGACGATGCTGCCAGCCGGCTCCAGCGCGGTCGCTGCGGAGGGCGTCCTGCGGCCATGCCGCACCGCGGCGCCGCGCCGGCAGCTGCGGAGCGGGGAGCCCGCGGGGAGTACGAAATACCTGGGAGAGGAGCAACAACTTGATGATACCGCTGTAAGGCGAGGCCAAGACGAGATCAACATCTGGTACAGATAAATCGAGAATCTCTGAGATCTGGCGGCTCTGGAGGATGTCTCGGGCGCCGCGGCCTTCTCAGAGCGTTCCGGAATGCTCTGCAACGGATTATCCTCGTCCTAGCCCCGTCCGACCTAGACCTCTCCGAGGTGCGATCCAACCAGAAACCGCAAAACCCGATCCAAATCGGGCACGGACCCGTCCTGAAACCCATGCTGGCAGATGCTTCTGTCCCGAGTCGGTGTTTGACAAGATGTTTGACAAGGACCTACAACAAAAACGATCCTCGAGCTTCCTTCTCGAACTCATTCCTCGGTATGTTCCCAAACATCCGACAATGAGATGTTCTCAATTCGTGGCCACAAACGGCCCCTCTCCCGGCGACATCTCCTTTCTAGACTATTTGATATGTCCCACAGGTTGACGCTCCAACGTGGATTCCTGTCTTTCGGAAATCAAAGTCGTCCCAAGCGCCGACCATGTTGAAACATACTATTACATGCCTGTGGTGATCCCGATAGGCTTCAGACAACGTGTTGGTCAACAATTTTCAAGCGCGTAACAGATACATGTGTATACGTGTGTATATACAAATTCGAGTCGGCCCGTTGGCATAGGCACCCGCGTGCAAGTTCCGATTCCGAACTATACAAACGAGTTCATCATTGGGGATAAAACGATAGCGATGCCGCGAATCCCCAGACTCCTCCCCGGGTGCGTTCTGACCAGAATTTCGACGAGAATCTTGTCGTGGCGACGAGGGCTCTCCAGGACGAGCAGCGGTGTCGCTACCCTTTCCTCCTCAGGCATCTGTTGCGCGGGCTGTGTATCGCCATTGTCACGCGGATCGGCAAGCGCCAACATTGGAGCCTGGAGAGGCAGGTAAGCGGGGCAAGAGAGTGTGACGAGACCGCGGACCGTATAACGGGGCGCCCGCGCCCTAACATCACCAGGGTCCTGACACTTGAGGTGCTGTTCTTAATGAGGCCCGGAAACGGCAGGGCAATTTTTCACCGTTTCCGAAACATGCCTCATGAAAACGGACACGGCAAAACCAAACGGCAACCGAAAACGGCAAAGACACGGCTCCAGGAGTGGAACCGGAGCCGGAACTGGTAAAAAACGATGACGGAGCTGGTCGAAGAAAACGTCGGAACCAGCTACAAACACGGCCCTGTCGTTTTCAGGGAGGAGGGAGGAGGGAGGAGGGAGGAGGAGGAGGAGGAGGAGGAGGAGGGCCCAGTGAGGCGCTGTCTGCAGGCAACACGATGGAAACGGAGGGGCACGGCCCTGCGCGCACGCCCAACAAGCTCGTCCCTCACCACCTGAAAGACAAGGAAGTAGGGGAATTAGGCAGGCCTCGGGGATAGCGATCTGAAGACAATGAAGGGGCCCTGGGACACACAAATAACTACACACAAACAAAACGATTCCAAATCTTTTCCCATATTTTCTGGGTTTTTGTCTTCCCCCCGATTCCCATAGTTTCTCATATTTTTCTTGGGAATCGACGAATAATTATGTCTGTGTTTTCTCCCCTCCTGAGACAACTGCTTCGACATCGCGCCGCGGTGCGAATGTGGCTGCAGTCTTTGCTCCGACGGTCTCCACAACACTGAGGCAAAAAGGATTGGCAAACATTGCTGGGCTTCCCACGATCACCCGACCCGTCACTTCATTGCAAATGCCGTCATCACCTGTGTTGTGCTCGCAATAGCCTCAAAGACACCACAGTGGGCCCGAAGAGCCGTCAGTCTTTACAATGCTTGCTCGTGAAGTACCCTGAGCGCGGGTTGCAGACATATCCTACACTTTGGACATGCGTTGCGACAGGAAACACATCATGGCAAAAACAAGTCTAGGAGCTCGAAATACGGACGTACGCCGCAAATACTCGAGCAAACCTGCCTGCTCGGCGTAATAATATGGAGTATTCCAGGAAGCGACCCAGGCACGCCTCGACGCGTCGCGCCGAGCCCCTGGCTGATCCCAGACGCTCGCACAGCTGGCCTGCTCAGGTCGTCCTGTGCCCTCATTGCGCGCGCCTTCATCTGGAGCACACACCACTTCGCCTGGCGAAAAGACATGCGTCCAAGATCTCAATCGAAGCCGCTCCTGCCGATTGCCGTCGACAGGGCTCCTTGTGATCCACGAGTCAGCCACAATCCCTTTGACCTGGCGGACCATGCCCTCACCGACTCGAGATAACGTAGAGGCAGCAAAACAAATGCGCTGGGCAAGTCCGCCTGCAACCACCTCTGCTCCGCAGCAAGGCTGGTGTAGGGCTCAGGAAAGCGCCCTTGCAATGTTCCGGCGACGTGAGTCAACGTAGGCTGGGACTGGCAAGACTGGCAAGAACCTAGCGCAAAACTGCTGAATTGCTTCGATTGTCCTGGGATCCGGAAGCGGCCTCTGGATGGCAAAGTCCGGAAACGCCAGAAATGGAGGGTACACGCCGTCAGATACCTTGGCATCTGATGGTGATAAATGGTGTCAGTACTATTAGTCGTATGGTTCTTATTATGAATACTATTATGTCTTACTGTTAGTATGTTGCCAGTCTTATTCTTTCAACAAACAAGCATAATCCTAAACATACACATAAAAATGCTGTGCAACAATACGCGTAATAATAGCGCTATTCCTAGTCGTATTATTTGTATTGCGATTTGAATATGATGATGATGTTTATGATGTTGATGTTGATGTTGATGTTGATGTTGATGTTGATGTTGATGATGATGATGATGATGATGATGATGATGATGATGATGATGCTAATGATGCTGATTAAAATGACGGTGATGGTGATGGTGATGGTGACGATGATGGTGATGCTGCTGCTGACTAGGTTTATTATTGCGATGATGAAACTTCTGCATACCCACCGCCTGGGGAGCCGACGACCCAGGCTCACAGGGGGCCCAAGAGACATCAAAATACTTCGTCCTTTGGGATCCTCGGCTCCTCCTCCCTCCTCCTCCTCCTCCTCCTCCTCCTC